AGCTCAAAGCAGCATGCCAATGAGAGAGCATCTCTGGGTAGCAGCAGAATGTGAGTGTGGCTGGGACGGGACAAACCTGCCCACTGCTGAAGAGTGGCGAGTGGGTCAGAGGTCCCATCACCCTCTTCCTGTGCCCAAAGGACTGTTCCTGACGTCCTGAGCAGTGATGATGGTGCCCAGGAAATGTCCTCAGGAAAACTTGACTCAGGCTCATTCCACTTGTTGTTGGTTATGCCCGACTTGGCTCCAACCCCAGGAGACCCGGGGCCCAGCACACCAACACAGTGCCTGGTCCTGCACCATCTTCCTCATCACTGATACATTTGAGTCTGTTGTTGGGTCTGTTGTGTCAGTTCATTTATTGTGTCCCCAGAAATATGTGCAGTGAATCCTAAACACTATCCCCATGGATGCGACCCCTTTTGGGAATACGGTTTCTTTGTTATGTTCATGAGACCATATCTGTGTAGGGTGTACCTTAAACCAGTCACCTGGAGTTATAAAAGGAGTAGATTAAGAATAGAGATGGGCAAGCACAGATGTGGGACGCTGGAGATCACCAAGAAACCGGAAAGAGAAGCTGAAAGAGACAAAGACCTTCCCCAAGATCTGACAGAAAGCCTTCCAGCAGAGCCAGCATCCTGAACTCAGACTTCTAGCCTCTTACACTGTGAGATGTCTCTTTGAAGACTAAAGTGTGCCTGACGTAAGCCATGGTGTTTTTGATCACCTCATATGCATGTGAGAGCTGGACAGTGAACAAGGAAGACCGAAGAAGAGTTGATGGTTTTGAGTTGTGTTGGCGAAGAATGCTGAAAGTACTATCGTCTGGCAGAAGAAGGAACAAATCTGTCCTGGAAGAGGTGCGGCCAGGATTCTGCTCCTTGGAAGCGAGAATGGCCAGACTTGTCTAACCTACTTTGGTCATGTTTTCAGAAGGGACCATTCCCTGGAGAGGGACATCATGCTTGGTAAGGTGAAGGGTCAATGAAAAAGGGGAAGACCCTCAATGAGATGGACTCACACAGTGGCTGCAACGATGGGCTCAGGGATAGCAAATGTTGTGAGGCTGGCATAGAACTGGGTGATGTTTCATTCAGTTGTACATGGGGTTGCTATGAATCAGTGCCAACTCGACAGCACTAGCAACGACAGTACTGCGAGAAACCAAATTTCTGTCTGCTAAAGCCACCCACTTGGGTATTTCTGTTACAGCAGCGCTCGGGAGCTAAGACACCATCCCAGGAAGCACTTTCCCCTTTTTCGCTGACCTCCGCTTTACCAAGCATGGTGTCCTTTCCCAGCCATTGGTCGCCCTGGTCACATGTCCGAGCAAGCAGGCCGCAGCCTCACCATCCGCACGTCCAAGGAGCACTCTGGCTGTGCTTCCTCCAAGGCCGATTGGCTTGTTCTTCGCCGTCCATGGTGCACGCAGCGTTCTTCACCAGCACCACAACTCCAACGCACCAACTCTTCCGCGGTCTTCCTTATTCATTGTCCAGGTTTCACGTGCATGTGAGGTGATTGAAAACACCATGGCTTGGGGCAGGTGCCCCTTAGTCTCAAATGACATCTTTGTTTATAGACCTTGAGAGAGGTCTTTTGTCACAGATTTGCCCAGTGAGACACATCATTTCTTTTCTTTTTTAATTGTGATTTGGGTGAAAGTTGACAGAGCAAATTCACTTTCC